TTCCTGACAACTCTTTAAACGTGAAGGTGATAATATTGCGTCTTCAAAAGACTGAAGATCCATGAAGATCCATGAAGATCCAAACTTCCAACAGCTAGCAGCTATGTGCAGCTTCAAACCGCCAGACTAGAAGCTTGCTTGGTGTCTAACCTTGCAGCGGAGACCCAGAGGGACCTTCCAACCCAAACAAACAAATGCATCTGGTGAAGCAGTCATCGAGACACTCCACCAATCACATCCACCACAATGACCAGCGTCGCCCACAGTTGCGAGACAATCACAAAGAATGCACCGTTGCACAGTCCTGACCAAATAGGCGAGCTCACTCAGTGACCCCACGCAGATTCGGTGTGGTGGGTATACAGCCTAAAAAGATTCTAAAAAGGACCCTACCAGGACCCTCAGTCGGGGTGGTTTTCATGGACACCCCGAATCACAGCTATGGGGCTATAACTATAACTAGACACCCTGGACCATGGTTCCCCAACTCCCACCAGGTGGGGTATGGCCAAGGGCGCCCTTCGGCGCGGGGTGGCGCCTTGGCGTCGGCATCGGGAGAACCAGCCAAGAAACGACCAGGTCGAGCTGAAAGGTCGTACCTTCTTGGACCTTTCCGGTCTCTCTCAAGTGACCCTGTCTTCAATACGGTCTTACCCAAGTGACTACTCCAGCCCGGCTCTGGCCCGCTGAAAGATCCATGGACGGACAAGTGATGGCATACCAGCAGATCCTCTGTGGACTACCCCCTTTTTAGAAAAAACACACACATTCTTTATCACATTAATACACAATATTGCGTATTGGAATTAAGGATGGAATAGGCCTTATGGTTTTTGGGAAGCTCCCTCGAGAAAATGGTCCAGTGCTGGCAGGAGAGAAAAACACATCGATTGGTTCAAGCCAAGGCTTGCGATCTCCGTTTTGAGAGTTGTCACCGTTTCCGTCTGGTCTGGCACTTCTTCCACTTCAGCTACCCTGGGTGATTCAATTCATGTCAGCTCAGAAATGTCACCCTGGTATCTCTCAATCCGCACCCCTAAGGCCTCTCGTTGTGTTTTGTATTGCGGTTTCGCACCGCCCTCACACATGCCGACACGGCGCTGTCGAAACGTGTCGGGAGTCGAAAGTCGTCGGTGCCGTTTCGTCGAAACCAAAACCACCACGTCCGGCATCCACCGTCCTGCAGCTCCCACCAAGAAGGGTAACATCCACAGCACGTCCAACAAATTCACCGTGGAGGCTGCCACGCCGACGCCTCGATCGACGGAAGACATATGTTTTTAAACGAACGGACGGTGTGCAGTGTGGTGCCTTCCTCCGCCCAAAAAGGTGTCCATGTTTTTATTTTGGTATAATTAATAATTAATAGCTATATCAATAAGTGTGTGCTGGTGCGCCGGACACGTTCTTCGTGTTGTTTCCTCCGTTTTTCGAGCTGTCCTGGCAGCCTTGAGTTGTAGAAGTGTTGTTTGAGAGGACGAAGAAGAAACTTGGGGATGCTGCTTGGAATCGTATATCCTGGGGGGTTAGCTGTCGAGCGGGTGAGTTGAGTTGATTCCACCCGTGAAAAAACAATCCATCTTGAAGGACTAGAAAGCGTCTGCATGAGGTTCCCAGGTCGTTGTTGTGGGTAGTCATACGAGTCATATGTCTACCCAACGCTGCATGTCGGTAGGTCAAAAAGCCAGCCACCGGCAAAGCATGTTCTTTGTTGGCCACTGTTGAGTGTTTTGTTTGTCTAGAAACCAAATGAAACAGCACATGTTTGGCCACTCAACCCTCTCCAACAAGAACATCTGGTCACCCAAAAGCCGCCGCCTGTGATGCTCACGAATTCTTGGAAGCCTCTGGAGCGCAGCCGCGCGATGTGCGGCACAGACCCACCGAAGAAGACCTCAGAGTTTGGTGGGAGCTTGGGGGAGGCAAAAGCACAAGGAGACAGAATCAATAATGACAGAGTCCGGCAGGCTGTGGAAGTGCACTTTTTCACCGTTCTGTAATGAAACAGCAACAATAGCAACAAAAAGGACTTCAGAAGTTCTGCAACTGCGAACGCAAAGGGAGAAGAATAGCGAGAAACATAATAAGATAAGTCAGGCACGTAACAAGAAGTGCACAGGCAACAATAGCAACCACAGCAAGCATACTCACAGGACACTGAACAACCTGCCAATAACGTCAGCTCCCCGTGATCCAAATGCACTGTCAGGCATGTCTTGTGTATCTGAGCTGCAGCGAGTCTTGGCCGTATGGATTCTGGAAAGCTATGCGGTTCGTCGACATCAGAACGGTTCGTCGACCCATTCCTTAGGAGACCGGCAGCTACATAAGTGTTGAGATTGATTGGCGCTCTGCGGTGCAGATTGAAATTGGCACATCTTCTGCCCGACCAACAAGGGCCTTTAGAGGCCCTTACATCCTGCCCTACGGAGCCCTTGTGACCCCTCACAGGGAACCCTGCAAGTCCCCTAATTATTCTCGTCCAAAGCACTGACAAACCATCCCTTGTTTGAGTTATATTATAATTCATGCAAACTCTTGATCAATGAAGCACCATCATTTGTCTCAACCCCCTCCTGTGTGAACCATTGATCCTTGTGCATTCCAAGCCCGTAATTTCCACACCACAAGCCTGCACAATCCATGGTCAACTAAGCCACCTTACGCCTTAACTTACGCAAGCCAAACTCGTCATAAGTGCATAAGCTTAAGTTCTGTGCATGGACAACAACCTTTCCTGTGCATAGTTTTGCAAAAACATGTATTTTGAGTAGGGCGTCCTTCTCCCACTGAGAAGGTGAACAAAAATAACACAGAGATGCCCTTTTGGCGACAGCCAAAACCCCCACCGTGTACCTAGAACTTAGAACCCATTTGACCCCTGTCTTGATAGGAAAACACATGGAACAAAATGGGTTGGCCCCCAATTACCCGGGGTCAGGTTCTAGGTTCTTCGAACCTTCGACCCATCAGGGAGGTTCGAAGTAACACAACAACAGGTTGGCCACGCGCTTGGCGCAAACAAAGCAACAAACAAACTAGTATACTAGTTAAACTACGTGTTGAAAAAAAACAACAACAAACATACCTAGAAGTATAGGTTGTACCATCGATGTGAAACGGGGATTCTGGGAGTTCTTCATGAAATCGTCCTGAAGAAGATCGCGCACGTGTTTCAGATCCAGGATTCCAAGGAGCGGACGTAGCGGGAGCGATCAGGAGTGAGGGAAGCTGCAAAAAGCTGGCATCTGCTTCACAGCTTAACTCCCCGGATGCCGCCGCCAACAGTGGGAGCAAGCATAAGGCGAAGGAAAACATGCAGGTCTCGATGGTCTCACGGGTCGTGACAACCCATGAGTCCAAGAACGAAAAGTCAAGATGAAGAGTTGCATCGATCCATCTTGATCCCAAAACTCTGTTGGAGGCCTTCCTTTTGGCTCACAATTGCAAACATGCGCCTATCGTTGTGAATTTCTACATTAATAAACAAATGGCCCTTCGCCTGTCCAAAAGGGGCAACTGTCTGAGGTTTTCATGCTTTGAAGGCTGTCCATCGGGTCCCTTTTGGAGGACCGAAGTCCTCTTCCATGTTGCCGGCCTTGAGCAGAGATGCCCGCGGCGCGAACAAACGGATGAAGGGATGCGAACATGACCCCCCCCCAGCAGATGATCCTATGGACTCTGAGAATTGACCGGTGGTGTGACCCTTTTGAGGAAGACCAACCTGACGTGGTTTCCGGTGTCCATGTGGTCCTCTGCAAGAGGGTGGGTCAAATAAGAGAAAAAGAGAAAGAGAGAGAGAGAGCATGCACTACCGCAACCAGGAATGTCTTAGGATGGCCTAGGCGGGTTGGTCTTGGTATGTCTGGTTCTTGTTCTTTGCCTTGCGATCTATCGACCGGTCAACACCTTCAACAGCAAACTTGAGCGCCAACCTGTGGGCACATATGAATCAACAGATTGGATAAGGCAGGCAGTGCTTGCTGCATGGTCTGGGCGAGGAATCAAGGCGTGAAACCGAAGCACTTAACACGTTTTTGTCATGTCTCTTCTTGCTGACATACCTCAAACCACAGTGGGATTCCAAAACCTCAGGCTGATGAAATCATACTATATATTATATACGTTATATACACCTTGAACGCATTTGACCTCTGTTTTCACAAGAAAAAACCATATTTGGGTGGTTGGTGGTCCAAATTAGAGGTCCCTCAGGTTCTAGGTATATAATATATGAAATCATATGAAATCCATTCACAGTCAATGACCAAGCGAACCAACACATTGTGGATGATTCTCTGGTCTATAACCTATATAGCCTTTTTGTCCAAGAAATAGTCTGGGCATGTCTGGGCCAATCTGCCAAGGGCCACGTGGGCTGGATTCGGTCGAAACAAAAACGACCTTTTGAGAAACATACGGGCCAGGTATGCCAGGTATGGACCATATTTATCTTAGGTTCTTTGCGGGGGGGTGTATCCCCTTTGATTAATCAACCAACCAATAGTGAAAGGCCATACATGATAGAGAAATGAGATGCTACACAACAGGAACAACAACATCAGCAGCAGCAACCAGAACCACAACTCTTGTTGGTATCTGCTGGTCATGTTCCAAGCAAACTAAACATGCTGCTCATCCATGGGGCGACACCGCACAGGTGCTGGGCACACAGGTGGGCGCACAGGGGGTGCCAAGGCAAACAAAACGGTCGTTTCACTGGGCAAGTGCTAGTCTTTGGGACATGATTCGGCTCTATTTCATATATATATATATATATAGGCTAAATCCCCTATTTCACCAAGCTCCATCCTAGACTTGCCTCCCAAGCTCCTACGTGCCAGGCTGCGCACGGGGAGTTCCCTTAGGACCCATCTGTGCAGAGCTACGAACACCTTCGGTGGAGTTTGGTGGGGCGAACTACCCGAACACCTGGTCTCCTGGACTGAACTCACCTGCCGGTTCAAAGACGACTCCCCACCGGACTGGACCAAACAGTCCTCACCATATGCCATCAAGCGGACCGAAGCTGCAGCCTGAGCACTGAAGAGCACTGAAGTGCCCATCCAGTGCTGAGGAGGTTTCAACATGTTGAACAACCCGAAGCACTGCATCCAAAACATGATTTTGAAATCTATAAGTCGAAGCAAAAACCAGCCAAGCACCTAATAACACATTGCCACACCAACGTGTTCCGTGGTGTCAAAAAGCACCAAACTGGGTCGGCACGCATTCCAGTTCGGCCGAAAGATCGTAATATATCTCTCCAAAACTAGGTGATGATCTTTGTGCTGAAAAGAGTTTCTCCGAGCACTTGAAACTCTCCGGACCTATCCCAAGAGGAACGACGTCAGACGTGATGTGGGGTCCTCTCGGTCCGGTGCTTCGACCAGTTCGACCGGCAACGATCTCCGTGAAGCCATGGGCACCAATCAATTGGAGTGGGGCAGTTTCAGGGGTCTGCCTCAAAATCAGATACTGCAGTCCCATAGGGTCCCAATGCTTGAGCGTTTTCAGAAATTCCCACCGGTTCGCCCGGTGGAATTCTCTGCGTTCCACGCCACGAGGGGGCCAGGCCCATCGTCCTCACCTGCCATGGTGAAGAGGAGACCTCCTAGGTGAAATAAAGGACTAGTGAACATCCTCATGAATCAGCATCCTCACTGCCAGGTCCAATTGAGACCTGTTCAGGCCCAACCCTCTAAACGAGACCTGGTGGATGCTGCCTCTACCTTGGGTTTGAGAGCTTTTACCATGATAGTAGGTTCAAAGTAGACTGTACAAACCAAGGTGTTTGAGCTTGGAACAATGTGTTTGAGCTGACCGCGCAATCTACTCTCAGTGTGCTGAATGTGCTTTCGCAATGATGGATGCTCCACTTTGTAGCAAAGTGATTCTTGGTGGTCCTACTTTCATTGTCAAGCAAAATCCCCATCATAAAGGGACACAAAAATGTGTCTCCTCCCTTTCTTCCGCAAACAAGTAAAACTCTTTTTCATAAGCACACGCGCCTAGGCTGGGTGAGCCAACTTCTCCTACGTCCAATTGCCAACTTCTCCAGAGTAACAGATGTACCAAACATCACACTTGCAGTGGGTCACTCTGCGAAACATCATGTCTATGTATTAGGTTCTAATCCTACTATTAAATGTAGAATGTTGATTCATAAAACCCCCCCATTTGGAATGCAAAACCCTCTTCAATATGGTGGGGTTATTAATCAACAGTACAATTAAAAATTGTTTAATCGTAGTTATATAGTAGTTACAATCTGGGTGAAGAATTCCACTTGGCTTTTTCAACCACCCCCCAAACTGATGGGCAGTCCAATCCCGTCTAACCAATCCGTCGGCAGAATCGTCTTCTTTTTTTCCGCTACGCAATTGTTGCTCCATTTGATGTTGTCCATTCACACTCCAATAGACCAGCTCCTGAGCTGAGTCGGGCCGCCCGTTTTCATGTTTTGTGAGGACAAAAGGCAAAACACAGCAAAAAGACCGGCTCCACACATCTAAGAATTCTCAGACGGTCCCTTTTCTGATTTTTCCTCTGACCCTGTGGATAAATCGATGAGAAGTGTCAGTCATGCGGCATGCGGATTTAGCACATGCTTGTTTCAGGCAGGCCCATTCAACGAAGCTAGCACCTACATTGATCCAAGAAGCCTGAGACCCAAGGAGGTGTGCGTCCAAAGAAGGAAGGATCAGGATATACTCTTTAAATTTGGAAGGACCTCCAGTAGGGTTTTGTAACTTGTAACAATCTCTGGTTGAGCACTTTCATGTTCCAAACAGCCACCAAACAACTGCCACTCCGTCTCCCAGATTGACGTCGATCGTGCGCGACTACGTCGGGCGCCAAGCGGCCAGGTGTCGCAAGGATGGAAGGTCTTGAATTTGTAAACTTTCTCGAGGCCTTCGCGGATCTCTGCGGAGGGTGGAACACCCAGGACATGGTCTGGGTCGCTCCCAAAAGTAGTGGGTAAAAACCGGCTGTGCAAACACAGGACATGCTTCTTCCGAAACAGCACCTGATGTGTTTGTCACTGTCACAGTGTACATTTCTGTAGATGTTGAGTATCCATTAGTATCCCATCACCACTGAACTGAATGACCAGAAGAGACCTCAGCTCAATCGATGTGACCACTAAACCCCGCCTCCCCGAGGCTGCAAAGCGAAGGAGGTCCAACCTGGGGAGCTGTGGAAGAAAGAAAAGATCGTCATACAGTGAGTGTATATTTACATACCAACAGAGGTTGAAGAACCCTATAGACTATCCCATAGGTACCCCAGTAAGGTCCTATATGGTCACTTAACCCCTCTTGGTAGTCAAAGAACCACTATACTCCCAGAACTTCCGTTTTGACTGAACTACCCCACCTGGTAGTCAATCCATCCACCACTACCAGTTTGGGGTAAAATGAGCTTCTTCAGTTCGTGAGCTTTTTGGAGTTCGTGACCAAGCCGATTTCTGGCCCTGAGGTTTAGCCTCATAGCCTGGGATACATATCAAGTTCGGTCGTTGTTCAGAGCCCAATGCATTTTGCACAAGCTTTGGATCTGAAAACCAACGCTTGGATCCTTGAGTCTTGAGATTCCTTTTGGGACACCCTTCGGAACCAAAGGGTTCTATTGGATGGAAACGAATCGCCAACCAATCCTCACCCGGCTGGACCCGGCTGGTGGAGATCTGGGGAGGTTTCTCAGTCGACACATCTGACCAGGTTTGGACACATTGTGAGCCACTGAGTCCCGACTCGAGTCCGGACGAGCGCACCATAGGAATCTGCCGGACGGCCCCTTGTTGAAAAGAGATATGATATATATACCAGGACCTTCCAACAGGTGGTTTTTGGACACCTCTTAACCTCTAAGAGGCTATTTATAGACACCTCTTGGAAGGTCCTGGTATACATAAATATAAGATTGTTCAGTTCTGTATACATTGTCTATGATACCAGTGGGGGCAAAGGTCCATGTGCATCCACTTTCTCCAAAAAGGACGACATTTCTATCACTCAATGGTGCACCGCTCGCCTGGCTACGCCAGCTTCGCGGTCGGGCAAATGGATCACATTGGATCACCCTAATGTAGACCGTTGATTCATCGTCCCCCATGCCTAGGGATCCAGGTACCTTCTCAGGAGGTGATGGCAAACACTGTTATGTAGGTGCCAGGAGGGTCCAGTCGTACCGAACCTGAGAGGGTACGACTGGATCCCTAGGGCCCTAGGGCATTTGGATTGTAAAACCCTGCCGGTCCGGTTCAAGAACGAAGTCGGGTCGGAGTGACGTCGTAGTGTGTTTGGAAGGTCTTCCCGGACCCAGTCTAAGTCCTTGACCAGACCTGCTGGCAGTCCCTCTTCTTATTGGAGGTTGGATTCCTCAACGGCCGTCTACATGATTTCCGGGCTTTGCATGGCTTTGCTCCGCTCAGCTCGAGCTCAACAACATCCGGATGCACATCTTGGTCGGGATCACGTCCTGCGGATGTGCACGATGCAACGAATGCGTGGGGATGTAACGAACAGCCGAAGATCTGAGAAACATCCACATCCTAAGATGTTGCTGATTTGGTGGTGCAGGGGGAGAGGGATGGAGATGGGGGACTATGGGGGCAGTGGGTGTTGAGGACACGGCGGCATTCGGAGTTTGAGTAGGACACCTTCCGATCATAATCATCATAGGTCCATCATTGGTCATACCCTAGGGGTCCAAGCACCTTCTCAGAAGCTACAACTGGATCCGCAGGGATAGGTCCATCATGAAAACCGTTGGCGGCGATGTTCACAGGTCAGATCCCACCTGTTTTTGGGGGGAAAAACGCCTCGACGGATTGAACCCGCATCCGCTGAGCACCGGACTGGGCGAGGTGAGGGAGACGACGGGTACCCAACCAACGCGCAAAAGCTCCTGGTCCTAGTAGCTTCTTGCTCCTAGTAGTAAGGCCAGGAGCCCCGTTCGTAGCGTCCGCTCGCTCCGTTCGTAGCGATGCCAGGAGCCCCTAGTAGGGTTCTTGTTCCTCTACCTTGGATTAGCTGATTTAGTTATTTTCTTACGCAAAAGCATCTTCCAATCTTCCCCAGGTTCATTCACACATAGGGAACACAACAAATCCACGTGATCCGCCCAAATGGGCCTCCCGTCCCGCTGTGGAAGGCCGTTCGGCTCGGCGTCCTGCGCCTCGCAAATGAAGTCAACTAACGCCCTCGCCACACCACTCTCAACTTCAAGAGAGGCCGAGATCAAGAGACCTCAGAGACCACCGACGCAGCCGACGCAGCCGCGCCCAGAAGTCATCAACCGGCAGAACGACTAGCGACTAGAAGTCTCCGAGGTCCATGGCTCCGTACGTCCCGAAGGGAAGGGCAGAGACTGAACTGCCCTGCCCGAACGCAGCGAGTCCATCCTGTTTTGAAGGGCAAAACATATATTTGTATATACCTGGAACTGGAACCCAAACATGACAGGTGTGTGTGATAGGGAAAAGACCATATTTTGGGTGGTTGGTGGTCCAAAAAAGAGGTCAATCAGTTTCCAGGTATATAATATAGGGAATCAAGTTCAGCAAGAAGGCTTGAAACACTGGACAAGACCAAGAACTCCCTGAATCAGTTCGATGAATCCATATGAATCCCAAGAACTCCCTGCCATAAGACATCAACAAAAACCATCCGACATCCTGATCTTCCGCGGCCGCGCCCGGAAGTACGCGAGTCGCCGCATCCTTACGCGACCTGGCCTACAATGGGAACCAAATGCGCGCAAGCCCACTGGAGCCTGAGCACCGTTTTGATGTTCAACAACAGGGAGAAGGGTGGGAGAAGGAGGTGGACGTCGGACAACTATATAACTAAGGAGCCGCGAAAGCAGTGAAAGCCTCCGTCAAAAGTCTCATCCAAGCTCTGTTACAACAGCATGTCTGTGAAAACTACTGTCTCTTTCGTGTGTTGCTTGTTTGGGGCTACATATGTCGAACCATGTTGCAACCGTAGGTTTCTGGCAGTTTTCTCCAGTTGAAGCAAGCAGTAGTTTGGCAAAATCCAACTGAACGTGCAACAGTTTTGTGTTTCTCCAAAATGCGAATACTATACCCAAACACTCCATGAGTGCAATATGTTTACCTAGCTTGAGGTGATGTCAGGTGTCAATGTAGGTTAATATTCCACACATGGGGGTGTCTGAGGAAAAGAACAAATCACCACCACTGGTGCCGCACATGTCGGATTTCATCACACCCACGTGCTCCATCCGCACCAATGATGTCCTTTTTGGAACAATATAGTGGATTGAGAGTAGATGGCACAAACCCCAAGAAGTGGTTTATATGGATCCCCATCTAAAGGACATCATGGGGTCTGTGTCATCTACTCTGAAACCACTGTAGTAGAGATATCATGAGATATATCTATTGGTAGTTCACTTGGTGGCATCCCCTCTATTTGTTCAACCAGTATAAGGCCATCTATGATCCGCACCTTTGGTGTCTCTTACTACAACCCTCCATCTGAGTCCCTGCCAAAGCGCTGGGCTGCCTTTAAGAGACTCACGCTGGTGAACTCCGCCTCACGCTGGGGGAAACGCTGCCGAG